AATACCATTTATAATAGCCCCTAAAAAAATAAAATACTTAGGAATACATCTAACCAGGGATGTAAAAGACCTATACAAGGAAAACTAGAAAACACTACTGCAAGAAACCCAAAGAGAGCTACATGAATGGAAAAACTTACCATGCTGATGGATAGGCAGACTCAACACTGTGAAAATGATAACTCTACCCAAAGCAGTTGACAAATGCAATGCAATCCTGATCCAAATACCAACAACATTCTTTAAAGAGATGGAAAAACTAATCATTAACTTTATACTGGAAGGAAGAAGCCCCGAATAAGTAAAGCACTATTGAAGAAGAATAAAGTAGGAGGACTCGCACTCCCTGACCTCAGAACCTACTATACAGCTACAGTAGTCAAAATAGCCTGGTACTGGTACAATGACAGATACATTGACCAATGGAACAGAATTAAGAACCCAGATGTAAATCCATCCACCTACGGTCACCTGATCTTTGACAAAGGCCCAAAGTCCATCACATGGGGGAACAGACAGTCTTTTTGACAAATGGTGCTGACAAAACTGGATGCTCATCTGCAAAAAATGAAACAGGACCCATACCTCACACTATATACAAAAACTAATTCAAATGGATCAAAGACCTAAATATAGAGCCCAAACCTAAAAAGTTCATAGAATAAAAAATAGGATCAACAGTAGAGGCCCTAATACATGCCATTAACAGGATACAAACCATAACCAACAACACACAGCTCCAGAAGATAAGCTAGATAACTGGGATCTTCTAAAAATTAAACACTTTTGCTCATCAGAAGAATTCACCAAAAGAGTAAAAAGAGAACCTACTGACTGGGAAAAAAATTTTGGCCATTACAAAGGTCTAATCTCTAATATCTACAAGAAAATCTAACACCTCTACCACAAAAAGACAAATAATCCAATTAAAAAATGGGCAAAGGAACAGACACTTCACCAAAGAAGTCATTCAAGCGGCCAACAGACACATGAGGAAATGCTCGCGACCACTACCCATAAGAGAAATGCAAAACAAAACTACAATGAGACACCATCTCACCCCAGCATTACTGGTACAAATCAAAAAAACTGGAAATAACAAATGTTGGACAGGCTGCGGGGAGACTGGAACTCTTATGCACTGCTGGTGGGTATGCAGAATGATACAACCATTTCGGAAAATGACATGGTGCTTCCTTAGAAAGCTAGAAATAGAAATACCATATGATCCAGCAATCCCACTCCTAGGAATATATCCTAGAGGAATAAGATCCGTCGCATGAATAGACATATGTACACCCATGTTCATCACAGCATTGTTCACAATAGCAAAAAGATAGAAACAACCTAGATGTCCATCAACAGATGAATAGATAAACTATGGTACATATACACAATGGAATACTACGTAACGATAAAGAACAACGATGAATCTGCGAAGCATCTCACAACATGGATGAATCTGGA